GGCCTTTGCCCATTCATATTTAGACACACACCTGATTCTACTAATACTGCTCAACAAGCCTTAACTAGCTGAATCAGATTTGCTAAATTAGGGTTGGACTGAAAAAACCTACAGGACAGTAGATCTCCAGGAAGAGGGTTGGACTGCCCTGGTGTAGGGAAATCATTGTACCATCTAAATCACTGTGAAATAATATTTTCAATAACAAAAAAGCTATTTCACAGTGATTTAGATGGTACAATGATTCCCTACACTATTCAGTGCTTGTTTTCTCACATAAACTGAAATTGTGCAAACGGTGTAGAAACAATCCTATTTTTGGTTGAAAGGTACTATATGACAGGTCTACAGTATATAGCATTAGAAACAGATATAATGTCATTGTTTAAATGTGGATGGACTTTGATGTTATACTAACATTTAGGTGTTTAATAGTTGCTACAATATTGTTTTGGCATTCTGTATGTTGGACTTCCTCTGGTAGGGTTTTACTGTAAAACACTATCATTCCGCTATTAGCGGCAGATAAATTATCAACATTTTCTGAAATTACAATGCAAAAATTCAAAACAATCCTGTGTGTAGCACCATTTTAAATATCGTACATATGTACATAACCCATGGTGTTTTAGTGTACATACAGTGCATTTGGAAAGTATTCAGCCCCTTGACTTTTTTCACATTTTGTTACGTTACAGCCTTGTTCTAAAATGGATTACCCTCTATACCCCATAATGACAAAGCAAAAACAGGTTTTTTGAAATGTTTGCAAATGTATAAAATACAAAAACTGGAAATCACATTTACATAAGTATTCAGACCCTTTACTCAGTACTTTGTTGAAGCACCTTTGGCAGCGATTACAGCCTTGAGTCTTCTTGGGTATGAGGCTACGAGCTTGGCACACCTGTATTTGGGGAGTTTCTCCAATTCTTCTCTGCAGATCCTCTCAAGCTCTGTCAGGTTGGATGGGGAGCGTTGCTGCACAGCTATTTTCAGGTCTCTTCAGAGATGTTTGATCGTGTTCAAGTCCGGGCTCTGGCTGGGCCCCTCAAAGACATTCAGAGACTTGTCCCGAAGCCACTTCTGCGTTGTCTTAGCTGTGTGCTTAGGGTCGTTGTCCTGTTGGAAGGTGAACCTTCGTCCCAGTCTGAGGTCCTGAGCGCTCTGGAGCAGGTTTTCATCAAGGATCTCTCTGTACTTTGCTCCGTTCATCTTTCCCTTGATCCTGACTAGTCTCCCAGTCCCTGCTGCTGAAAAACATCCCCATAGCATGATGCTGCCACTACCATGATTCACCGTAGGGATGATGCCAGGTTTTCTTGGGGACCTTCAATGCTGCAGAAATGTTTTGGTACCCTTCCCCAGATCTGTGCCTCGACACAATCCTGTCTCGGAGCTCTACGGACAATTCCTTCGACCTCAAGGCTTGGTTTTTGCTCTGACATGCACTGTCAACTGTGGGACCTTATATAGACCAGGTGTGTGCCTTTCCAAATCATGTCCAATCAATTGAATTTACCACAGGTGGACTCCAAGTTGTAGAAACATCTCAAGGATGATCAATGGAAACAGGATGCACCTGAGCTCAATTTTGAGTCTCATAGCAAATGGTCTGAATACTTACTGTATGTAAATAAGGTTTTTCATTATTTTATTTTTTTAATACATTTGCTAAAATTTCTATACCTGTTTTTGCTTTGTCATTATGGGGTATTGTGATTATAAAAAAAAAAAATCAATTTTAGAATAAGGCTGTAACGTAACAAAGTGGAAAAGTCAAGGGATCTGGAATACTTTCCGAATGCACTGTAACCCATGTTGTTTTAGAACACCTTCGTCGTGTTTCATGTGTCTTTGACCATGTTCCTACTGCAGAGCTGGGGGAGAGTTGTGGACACCACTGCTCTGGTACGTAGCTGTGTACAGAGCGCAGTGGGCATGCTCCGAGACCAGCTGCAGGGAGGAGTCCGTAGCACCAGGAGAGTGGAGATCCTGCTCACACTCCTGACTGACAACCAGGAAATAAGAGGTAAGAGCAATACTTCTATAGTACTCATTGTTTTTTTTTTTTTTAAGCGACTTGAAAGATTTTTCTTGCGGTAATAAGCGCTATATAAAATACATCTATTGTTATTATTGCTGTTTAGACCTATTCTCAGTAACTGCTTACCCATTGGCGCGCTATATTTAAGCAGTAGTGCGTGCTAGCACCGGAGAAGTTTGAAAATTGAGACGCTCAACAAGCAATCTCCATACTTCTCTGGCATTACCATGCCCGGGCTTGCATGGATACAGCACAACAATGGGTGATCATTGACATGCATTCCATTCACAATGATTATACTCAGACTATGAATGTTTATGAACAGCTGAATTTCTGAGCACCGTGAAGAGACGTCTTCACTCGTTGCTGTCGACCCATGATGACAACACGTTCAAACTGTCCTCAAATAACTGGGTCATCAAGGAGGCGTCCAACATTGACGCACTGCAGGAAGGGGGGACATTCAGGTTAGTGACATTTACATTTACATTTTAGTCATTTAGCAGACGCTCTTATCCAGAGCGACTTACAGGAGCAATTAGGGTTAAGTGCCTTGCTCAGGGGCACATTTACGTCATTTAGCAGACGCTCTTATCCAGAGCGACTCACCAATTGGTGCGTTCACCCTATAGCCAGTGGGATAACCACTTTACAATTTTTTTGGGGGGGGGGGGGGGGGGGGTAGAAGGATTACTTTATCCTATCCCAGGTATTCCTTAAAGAGGTGGGGTTTCAAATGTCTCCGGAAGGTGGTGAGTGACTCCGCTGTCCTGGCGTCGTGAGGGAGCTTGTTCCACCATTGGGGTGCCAGAGCAGCGAACAGTTTTGACTGGGCTGAGTGGGAACTATGCTTCCGCAGAGGAAGGGGAGCCAGCAGGCCAGAGGTGGATGAACGCAATGCCCTCGTTTGGGTGTAGGGACTGATCAGAGCCCGAAGGTACAGAGGTGCCGTTCCCCTCACTGCTCCATAGGCAAGCACCATGGTCTTGTAGCGGATGCGAGCTTCAACTGGAAGCCAGTGGAGTGTGCGGAGGAGGGGGGTGACGTGAGAGAACTTGGGAAGGTTGAACACCAGACGGGCTGCGGCATTCTGGATGAGTTGTAGGGGTTTAATGGCACAGGCAGGGAGGCCAGCCAACAGCGAGTTGCAGTAGTCCAGACGGGAGATGACAAGTGCCTGGATTAGGACCTGTGCCGCTTCCTGTGTAAGGCAGGGTCGTACTCTCCGAATGTTGTAGAGCATGAACCTGCAGGAGCGGGTCACCGCCTTGATGTTGGCGGAGAACGACAGGGTGTTGTCCAGGGTCACGCCTAGGCTCTTCGCACTCTGGGAGGAGGACACAGCGGAGTTGTCAACCGTGATGGCGAGATCATGGAACGGGCAGTCCTTCCCCGGGAGGAAGAGCAGCTCCGTCTTGCCAGGGTTCAGCTTGAGGTGGTGATCCGTCATCCATACTGATATGTCTGCCAGACATGCAGAGATGCGATTCGCCACCTGGTTATCAGAAGGGGGAAAGGAGAAGATTAGTTGTGTATCGTCAGCGTAGCAATGATAGGAGAGGCCATGTGAGGATATGACAGAGCCAAGTGACTTGGTGTATAGGGAGAAAAGGAGAGGGCCTAGAACTGAGCCCTGGGGGACACCAGTGGTGAGAGCACGTGGTGCGGAGACAGCTTCTCGCCACGCCACTTGGTAGGAGCGACCGGTCAGGTAGGACGCAATCCAGGAGTGAGCCGCGCCGGAGATGCCCAGCTCGGAGAGGGTGGAGAGGAGGATCTGATGGTTCACAGTATCAAAGGCAGCAGACAGGTCTAGAAGGACAAGAGCAGAGGAGAGAGAGTTAGCTTTAGCAGTGCGGAGAGCCTCCGTGACACAGAGAAGAGCAGTCTCAGTTGAATGACCAGTCCTGAAACCTGACTGGTTTGGATCAAGAAGGTCATTCTGAGAGAGATAGCAAGAGAGTTGGCTAAAGACGGCACGCTCAATAGTTTTGGAAAGAAAAGAAAGAAGGGATACTGGTCTGTAGTTGTTGACATCAGTGGGATCGAGTGTTGGTTTCTTGAGAAGGGGAGCAACTCTCGCTCTCTTGAAGACGGAAGGGACATGGCCAGCGGTCAAGGATGAGTTGATCAGCGAGGTGAGGTAGGGGAGAAGGTCACCGGAGATGGTCTGGAGAAGAGAGGAGGGGATGGGGTCAAGCGGGCAGGTTGTTGGGCGGCCTGCAGTCACAAGTCGCAGGATTTTATCTGGAGAGAGAGGGGAGAAAGAAGTCAAAGCATAGGGTAGGGCAGTGTGAGTAGGACCAGCAGTGTCATTAGACTTAACAAACGAGGATCGAATGTCGTCAACCTTCTTTTCAAAGTGGTTGACGAAGTCATCCACAGAGAGAGAGGAGGGGGGGGGCGGGGGGGGGGGGAGGATTCAGGAGGGAGGAAAATGTGGCAAAGAGCTTCCTAGGGTTAGAGGCAGATGCTTGGAATTTAGAGTGGTAGAAAGTGGCCTTAGCAGCAGAAACAGATGAAGAAAATGTAGAGAGGAGGGAGTGAAAAGATGCCAGGTCGGCAGGGAGTTTAGTTTTCTTCCATTTCCGCTCCGCTGCCCGGAGCTCTGTTCTGTGAGCTCGCAATGAGTCATCAAGCCACGGAGCTGGAGGGGAGGACCGAGCCGGCCGGGAGGATAGGGGACACAGAGAGTCAAAGGATGCAGAAAGGGAGGAGAGGAGGGTTGAGGAGGCAGAATCAGGAGATTGGAGGGAGAAGGATTGAGCAGAGGGAAGAGATGATAGGATGGAAGAGGAGAGAGTAGTGGGAGAGAGAGAGCGAAGGTTGCGGCGGCGCATTACCATCTGTGTAGGGGCAGAGTGAGTAGTGTGGGAGGAGAGCGAGAGAGAAAAGGAAACAAAGTAGTGGTCGGAGACATGGAGGGGAGTTGCAGTGAGATTAGTAGAAGAGCAGCATCTAGTAAAGATGAGGTCAAGCGTATTGCCTGCCTTGTGAGTAGGGGGGGACGGTGAGAGGGTGAGGTCAAAAGAGGAGAGAAGTGGAAAGAAGGAGGCAGAGAGAAATGAGTCAAATGTGGACATAGGGAGGTTGAAATCCCCCAAAACTGTGAGGGGTGAGCCATCCTCAGGAAAGGAACTTATCAAGGCGTCAAGCTCATTGATGAACTCTCCAAGGGAACCTGGAGGGCGATAGATGACAAGGATATTAAGCTTAAATGGGCTAGTGACTGTGACAGCATGGAATTCAAATGAGGAGATAGACAGATGGGTTAGGGGAAAAATTGAGAATGTCCACTTGGGAGAGATGAGGATTCCTGTGCCACCACCCCTCTGACCAGATGCTCTCGGGGTATGCGAGAACACATGGTCAGACGAGGAGAGAGCAGTAGGAGTAGCAGTGTTTTCAGTGGTAATCCATGTTTCCGTCAGCGCCAGGAAGTCGAGGGACTGGAGATTAGCATAGGCTGGGATGAAGTCAGCTTTGTTGGCAGCAGAACGGCAGTTCCAGAGGCTGCCTGAGACCTGGAACTCCAGGTGTGGGGTGCGTGCAGGGACCACCAGGTTAGAGAGGCAGCAGCCACGCGGTGTGGGGCGTTTGTGTAGCCTGTGCAGAGAGGAGAGAACAGGGATAGGCAGAGGCATAGTTGACAGGCTGTAGCAAATGGCTACAATAATGCAGAGGAGATCGGAATGAAATGAACTAAACATCTGGGACAGTAGAGAGCAGGGCCTCCCTCACCAAAAACTTCTACTTCTAACAACTATAATTGTTTCACTGAACCACCCGAACAAAAACTCTACCAACTTCCACCTTTAGAAATCAGAATTGTTGTGAACCACAGCGGTTCAATGTTTAAAGGAATAGACTCAACCCACTTTATTCAGCTAGCTAACTATGACACCATAGCTAACTAGCATGCTAGCATCCAAAAACACACAGTTTAGCACCAACACTTGCATCCAAAAACACACAGTTTAGCGCCAACACTTGGTCACAACAAACCACCAATAGTGTGTTAACACACTAAGCAGATAATTTGTGTCCGTGTCTGTTGGCTAGCTAGCAATGGCCACTGTGTTGACCTTGTTTGAAGAACGGCTAGCTAGCTAGCTTCGTGCTACCCCCGGCACCGCCGAACAACAATGCCAACCCACAGTAACTAACCACAACAGCCCACGATGCCTAGCTATGACGCCATAGCTAACTAGCATGCTAGCATCCAATAACACACAGTTTAGCACCAATACTTGGTTACAACAAACCACCAAGAGTGTGTTAACACACTAAACAGATAATTCATGTCCGTGTCTAGTTTCTTTCGTAACGCAGCAAAAAATTAAGCGTTGGTTAGCTAGCACATTAACATTGGAAACAACTCTCCACCGTTGCACTAAACAGATAAGTACCAATAAACGTTACCAGTAGCTACCCGCTAGCTAGCTAGCATACCAAGAGTGTGTTAACACACAAAACAGATCATTCATGTCCGTGTCAAGTTCCTTTCATAACGCAGCAAAAAAAATTAAACGTTGGCTAGCTAGCTAGCACATTAGCTAGCACATTAACATTGGAAACCACTCTCCACCATTGCACTAAACAGATAATAACCAATAAACGTTACCAGTAGCTACCCGCTAGCTAGCTAGCCTCGTGCTTCGCCGGGCTCCGCCGTAACAATACTTAAACAATACGTAAACAATAGACAGGGTGGTAGTAGTTCTACCCATCAGTCAGTAGACAGGGTAGTAGTAGTAGTTCTACCCATCAGTCAGTAGACAGGGTAGTAGTAGTAGTTCTACCCATCAGTCAGTAGACAGGGTAGTAGTAGTAGTTCTACCCATCAGTCAGTAGACAGGGTAGTAGTAGTAGTTCTACCCATCAGTAGACAGGGTGGTAGTAGTAGTGACCACTATGATTTCAAAACGTCTTATACCAATACAAATCCTCATCTGTTTGCTAAATTCAAAGGGACCTTAAATAGTTAGTTTAAAAAAGTGATCTCTTTATGGGACATAAGATATTATTGATTGGCCAAATAACCATACATTTTGACTTGTACCATATTGTCAATAAACGGCTGTACTAAACTGTTTTCTACCTTTTTGTACCAGACACACCCTATGGAAGAGGGTGCAGGCTGTGGTCATTCCCTTCTTGGCCCAGCTGGTCTCTGTCATCGACCGCGACCGCAACCTGGACATTCTGCTGGACTCCAACTCTGGAGAGGCGGTCAAGAAACTCTGGTTGGACATCTTTGGGAACGACAAACTACTCGAGGTTCCCTACACAAGACTGGACCGCAAGTAAGTACTATACTGGCACAGCAATGGTTATGTTGTTGGTCTAGAGAGCATAGAAATAGAATGACTAGAACGGCCATTTCTAATCAAGTTGTTGTTCTGCGATGGGTTGGACCTGCGGCCATATTGAGTATTCCAGTCAAATTGCCGTGGTCTGAGGGGCTTTGTCCCTTCTAGTAATTATATTTATGTGTTCTAGACTAGAGAAGCTGTCTTCTGTCAGGTCTGATTCTAGAATGTCAGTGAATCAACAACTCCCTCTCTCTTTCCACTCTACATTAACCCCTCCCTCCCTGTCCCAGTTCAGAGTCAAAGACCATCCTGGTCCAGAACTACATTGGGCTGGACAAGAACATCGGCTGCATGATGCCCTTCAGCTGGAGGATCAGGGACTACCTGGATGAACTCTGGGTCCATGCTCTCCAGCGTGAAGGTAGTAGGTTATGACAATACCTCATATGTCTAACTTAAATATCAGGGATCATCAACTAGATTCAGCCAAGGGCCGTTTGTTATTTAAAAAATAAATACATTTAGTGGATGGTGGGGGGCAGGAACATAATTACAAATAATTTGTAGACTGCAAATTGACTGCAAGAAGCCCAAACAGATATATAATGTTTGACTAAAACATAATAATTTCAAATCTTGCTTACATTTGCATATGATCACGTGTCTCTCTATTTAGCGTGGGAATACTTGGGAACAGATTTCTTAAATTAAAATCACTTGGAGCTGATTTCCTGGTGTTTTTACAGTCTTATGTCCAACAATGGAAATAAAAAAAGTATTTTATTTATTTTTATCAGAAAACCCTGTTATATGTTGTAACCAGGGGTTGTATTGGAGAATAATTCATTTACACACCTTGTTATTTTGTGAATAGGCATTACGTAGCCATTACGCCAATTTAGTGTTCATCATTTCGACTAACGTTCAGCATTAACCCACCTTATGTTTTACTGCTACATCCCTGGTTGTAGTCTATATGTTGTGTTCCATAATTCTTCAGTACTAGGTCTCTTATCTAAGAATAATCTGATTTTCTCTTCATTTAACCTAGTTATGTTGTTTCAGGTCACACTCAGAGCCAGTTTGAGGAGTTCTTTAGGAAGACCCCACTGGGCCGCTACATCACCAAGGCAGACCCGGAGATGCAGGCTGAGTTCTTCCACAGATACCTGCAGGATTTCATCTCCATGACCATGAGTGTGACCTGTCAGGAGGATCTGCAGGTAGGAGTTTCATTTTTTTCCTTTCAACATTTATATCATGATGCCATTAGTGTGTTTTTTTATGGATCCCAGCAATCCCTGGAAAATGGCGATGTCTGTTTCTGACTGGACTGTTAAAGATGAATTTAATTGTTATTTCAAGGTGTTAATTATTAGTGTGTGTGTGTGGTTGTACGCATCCATACATCCTAACCAACCATCCAGCTCCTTTGCGGTGCCTTGACCTGTTGTGTGAACGAGCTGCGGCTGCGTCACGATGACGTCATGGAGAAGGAAGTGACCTCGCTGCCCTGGGTCCACGCTGCCTACCATGAGTTTAAGAACCGTCTGCAGAACCTGTTCAGGATGATCAGTATCGAGCCCCAGTTGGCCCAGGTCCTCCGGGGGAACACGCACGCCAGAGAGGGGGATGAACTGGTCAGTATTACTGGGGAGCTACACTGGGCCGTTGTGGTTTCATACCTGCTGCACTGGATTCCTAACTTTTGGCCAGCGCGAGCAGACCGCGATCCACCTCCATCAAGGGTTCTCGGTGTGAAAATCTTGAAATTAGAACCAGGAGCAGCACTGCTTACGTCCATGTTTCATTGAAGAAAAAGCATCTCACGCTTGGCAAAAGGTATAAGTCTAGTATAGCAGGCCAGTTCAGTGTTAAAGGTCTAGTATAGCAGGCCAGTTCAGTGTTAAAGGTCTAGTATAGCAGGCCAGTTCAGTGTTAAAGGTCTAGTATAGCAGGCCAGTTCAGTGTTAAAGGTCTAGTATAGCAGGCCAGTTCAGTGTTAAAGGTCTAGTATAGCAGGCCAGTTCAGTGTTAAAGGTCTAGTATAGCAGGCCAGTTCAGTGTTAAAGGGATTCATTTTACTTCAAGCAGTGATACTTTTGTTTTCTTCCAGTCTTTTGAATGCTGGTAGAGATTAAATGGAAGGTCAATATTTGTGTTTTAGCTCAAGCATAGGGGAGATCAGTGCTTGCTGGAATAACACTTGTTTATGCTGTGTGGGTTCTGTTGTATTGGCACAAATACTTGTGTTAATATAATTTTACTTCAGGAACAAGGACATCTTAAGTATATTCCTCTGCATTGTGTCATTTTGCATTGACCATAGCCTTGTGTGCCAAGCATCTATGTTCTCCTCTGCCTGGCTACACCAGACTGCATGAACCCTGAAACCATGCGTTAACTCCCCAGGTGCTGGACGTGTATGCGGCCGTGGCCTGTGTAGAGTTCCTGGAGCCCCAGGCTCTGGACACGGACGGCCAGCGGCTGGTCTGGCTCAGGCAGGTCAAGAGGCTCCAGGTTCCCATCGAGCTGGTCTGCTCCGAGGAGAGTCTGAGACACTATGAGGAGAGGAGCATGGTCATGGTCCACAGAGTTCAGTGAGTTAACAGGGATTCTATTCAATCTCAATGACAGGAACATGAATGGCAAGGTTGACACAGTGACACTGACATGGCCAGTACATAAACTGACACTATTTATCAACTGTCGTTAGGTTTTGTTGCCTTGTCCCTTCAAAAGTCTGTTATTTAATTTTGATTTGATTTTGATTTAAAAGAAGTGTAAAGCTATCCAGTCATCTGAAGGGCAGTTTTGTATGATTTGGTAGCTGCTAAAACTTTAGAATAACAGAATGCCAGTTTATTTTTTTGAGTGAGTTGTGTTTGTTCTGTGGTCCCTGTAGGACCGGATGGAACCGCATTTTCACCCTGTCTCTGTTTGTGGAGCACATGTTACTGGGCATCGAGGCAGTGGAGAAGAAGCTGAAGCCTCTGGTCTTGGAGCACACCAGAGGGTTGTGCAAGGTCAGTGTGGTCTGGGGTCATATCTATAGGAGTGCTGATGTCAATGGAGAATCTCCATCAAAAATTGGGCTTTATCTGTGTCTGGGGAAACTGCCTTTTAGGGTATGGAAAGTACTGGATAGTGCAGAAGCGTCAATCAGTACTGAGCCAATGGTGCCCTCCAGTGGTCTATTTTAGTAAATGTAACCGGTAACCACACCACTCCTTTGATTTGCTGGGGCTAATATCAGAATAATATACTCAACAAAAATATAAACGCAACAATTTCAAATATTTTATTGAGTTACAGTTCATATAAAGAAATCAGTCAATTGAAATAAATTCATTAGGCCCTAATCTATGGATTTCACAAGACTGGGAATACAGATATGCATCTGTTGGTCACAGATAGGTAGGGGCGTGGATCAGAAAACCAGTCAGTATCTGGTGTGACCAGCATTTGCCTCATGCAGCGCGACACATCTCCTTCACATAGAGTTGATCAGGCTGTTGATTGTGGCCTGTGGAATGTTGTCACACTACTCTTCAATGGCTGTGTGAAGTTGCTGGATATTGGCCGGAACTGGAACACGCTGTCGTACACGTCGATCCAGAGCATCCCTAACATGCTCAATGGGTGACATGTCTGGTGAGTATGCAGGCCATGGAAGAACTAGGACATTTTCAGCTTCCAGGAATTGTGGACAGATCCTTATGACATGGAGCCATGCATTATCATGCTGAAACATGAGGTGTTGGCAGCGGATGAATGGCACGACAGTGGGCCTGAGGATCTCGTCACGGTATCTCTGTACATTCAAATTGCCATCGATAAAATGCAATTGTTCGTTGTCCGTAGCTTATGCCTGCCCATTTCATAACCCCACCGCCACCATTGGGCACTCTATTCACAACGTTGACATCAGTAAACCGCTCGCCCACACGATGCCATACACGTGGTCTGCAGTTTTGAGGCCGGTTGGACGTATTGCCAAATTCTCTAAAACAAAGTTGGAGGCGGCTTATGGTAGAGAAATTAACATTAAATTGTCTGGCAACAGCTCTGGTGGACATTCCTGCAGTCAGCATGCCAATTGCACGCTCCCTCAACTTCTGACATCTGTGGCATTGTGTTGTGTGACACAACTGCACATTTTAGAGTGGCCTTTTATTGTCCCCAGCACAAGGTGCACCTGTGTAATGATCATGCTGTTTAATCAGCTTCTTGATATGCTACACCTGTCAGGTGGATGGATTATCTTGGCAAAGGAGAAATGCTCACCAACAGGGATGTAAACAAATGTGTACACAAAATTTGAGACATACACAGTGCATATGGAACATTTCGGGGATCTTTTATTTCAGCTCATGAAACCTTGGACCAACACTTTACATGTTGCGTTTTATATTTTTGTTCAGTGTACATTTTATTTACCTTTCAAAATGGCATTTGTTGTCTTTGTTCCGTCAAGGTCCTTGAGAAGAACTCTGACCTAAAAAGTGAGAAGCCGTTTGAGGCGGTGATCGGTATACTGAAAGCCTGCAAAGACGGAGCAATGGAGTGCATTTTAAGGTACAGATTCCTTTTCCTTTTCCTGTCTGGAGTATATTTCTGTCTGGATATATTATAGTATAGTGTGTGTGTGTGTGTGTGTGTGTGTGTGTGTGTGTGTGTGTGTGTGTGTGTGTGTGTGTATATATATATATATATATATATATATATATATATATATATACACACACACACACACACACACATACAGTTGAAGTCGGATGTTTACATATACTTAGGTTGGAGTCATTAAAACTCGTTTTTCAACCACTCCACAAATTTCTTGTTAACAAACTATAGTTTTGGCAAGTCGGTTAGGACATCTACTTTGTGCATGACACAAGTAATTTTTCCAACAATTGTTTACAGACCGATGATTTCATTTATAATTCACTGTATCACAATTCCAGTGGGTCAGAAGTTTACATACACTAAGTTGACTGTGCCTTTAAACAGCTTGGAAAATTCCAGAAAATGATGTCATGGATTTAGAAGCTTCTGATAGGCTAATTGACATCATTTGAGTCAAATGAAGGTGTACCTGTGGATGTATTTCAAGGCCTACCTTCCAGCTCAGTGCCTCTTTGCTTGACATCATGGGAAAATCAAAAGAAATCAGCCAAGACCTCAGGGAAAAAAATTGTAGACCTCCACAAGTCTGGTTCATCCTTGGGAGCAATTTCCAAACGCCTGAAGGTACATTACATTACATTTTAGTCATTTAGCAGACGCTCTTATCCAGAGCGACTTACAGTTAGTGAATACATATTTTTTTATACTGGCCCCCCGTGGGAATCGAACCCACAACCCTGGCGTTGCAAACGCCATGCTCTATCAACTGAGCTACATCCCTGCCGGCCATTCCCTCCCCTACCCTGGACGACGCTGGGCCGAATTGTGCGCCGCCCATGAGTCTCCCGGTCGCGGCCGGCTGCGACAGAGCCTGGATTCGAACCAGGATCTAGTGGCACAGTTAGCACTGTGATGCAGTGCCTTAGACCACTGCGCCACTCAGGAGTACAGGTACCACGTTCATCTGTACAAACAATAGTACGCAAGTATAAACACCATGGGACCATGCAGCTGTAATACCGCTCAGGAAGGAGACGTGTTCTGTCTCCTAGAGATTAATGTACTTTGGTGCGAAAAGTGCAAATCAATCCCAGAACAACAACAAAGGACCTTGTGAAGATGCTGGAGGAAACAGGTACAAAGTATCTATATCCACAGTAAAATGAGTCCTAGACTACGGTTTGCAACTGCACATGGGGACGAAGATCGTACTTTTTGTAGGAATGTCCTCTGGTCTGATGAAACAAAAATAGAACTGTTTGGCCATAATAACCATTGTTATGTTCGGAGGAAAAAGGGGAGGGCTTGCAAGCCGAAGAACACCTTCCCAACCGTGAAGCACAGGGGTGGCAGCATCATGCTGTGGGGGTGCTTTGCTGCAGGAGGGACTGGTGCACTTCACAAAATAGATGGCATCATGAGGAAGGAAAATTATGTGGATACATCGAAGCAACATCTCAAGACATCAGTCAGGAAGTTAAAGCTTGGTGGCAAATGGGTCTTCCAAATGGACAATGACCCCAAGCATACTTCCAAAGTTGTGGCAAAATGTCTTAAGGACAACAAAGTCAAGTTATTGGAGTGGCCATCACAAAACCCAGACCTCAATCCTATAGAAAATGTGTTGGCAGAACTGAAAAAGTGTGTGCGAGCAAGGAGGCCTACAAACCTGACTCAGTTACACCAGCTCTGTCAGGAGGAATGGGCCAAAATTCATCCAACTTATTGTGGGAAGCTTGTGGAAGGCTACCCGAAACGTTTGACCTAAGTTAAACAATTTAAAGGCAATGCTACCAAATACTAATTGAGTGTATGTAAACTTCTGACCCACTGGGAATGTGATGAAAGAAATAAAAGCTGAAATAAATCATTCTCTCTACTATTGTTCTGACATTTCACATTCTTAAAATAAAGTGGTGATCCTAACTGACCTAAGACAGGGAATTTTTACTAGGATTAAATGTCAGGAATTGTGAAAAACTGAGTTTAAATGTATTTGGCTAAGGTGTATGTAAACTTCCGACTTCAACTGTATGTGTGTATGTGTATATGTGTTTATATATATATATATATATATTATATATATATAATATATATATGAATGAAACTCATTACCCTTCATGCTGTATGCTTAACTTGCATACTACTATCCTGTCCGTGTCAAGGTTTGGCATCCAGCCATGCCCTGTGTGTATGGGCGACCCCCACGACCCCCTGAGCTTGCCGTGTGACCACATCTACTGCCTGGCCTGCATCAGACAGTGGCTGGTCCCAGGTCAGATGTACTGTCCTCTCTGCATGCTGGTGGTGCCAGACGACTTCGCCCTCAGGCCCTCTGAAGACATACGGTGAGGGCGGACCCTCGTTGATTAGGACATGACTAAGGTTGTTAGACATACTGATGGGTCTGTTTGTTATCTGGAGATGATAACCTTATGGAAATAACTCTGACTTTATTGTGATTTAATCCTATTTTAATGTTTATTGTTGATTTAAGCTTCAATTCATTCATTCATTTCACTGCAATTCATTAATTACGGAATACTGTTCTTGTGTATGCTTTTTAGGCTCACCAGTTAACTGCTTTCATACTGTAACGGAATTTCATTAGTGACATACAGTATGTGTGGTTTCATTGCATTGTTAGTCACGGTTGTGTCAATCATGTTATTATACAGGGTTCTCATCAACCAGAACGCCCGCTTCAGGAAGCAGTGCAACACCTTCTTCATAGACCTGGTCTCAACCGTGTGCTTCAAGGACAACTCTCCCCCTTGCAGGGCCATCATCCTCCACCTGCTGTCCTTCCTCATGGTGGAGGTCCACTCTGTGCCCATCATCAGAGGTGGTGAGTGGGAGTGGGTGGGTGGCGATGGGGGTGTGGGCTGTGTGTGTGCCGCTGTGTGTTTGTATTTCTTGTGGTGTGTTTGTCTTGTGTGTGTGTGGTTGTCCTCACAATCCTCTTCCTCTTTGCCAGGTCATCGTCAGATTCTGACCAAGGCCCTCTCTCCCTTTGATGACTCTGTTGACAAAAACCCAGTCGTTCGGTCGGTTGTACTCAAACTCCTGCTCAAATACAGGTGATTATGTGACTAGTACTGCTAGACTACTCTTTAATTCATGATTTTAAGTAGATGAAGATTTTTCAAATGCCCCTCACTGTTTTATTAAATTCATGTTTGTTTTGAAGCTTTGATGATGTCAAAGGCTACCTGCAGCAGCACCTGACGGCAGTTGAACAGAGCAACATCTTGGAGGAATCAGACAAGACGGAACTGTATTCTCTGTATATCAACTGTCTGGAGGTAGGTGTACATATGGCCCATTGAATCAACTGTCTGGAGGTAGGTGTACATATGGCCCATTGAATCAACTGTCTGGAGGTAGGTGTACTGATGGCCCATTGAATCAACTGTCTGGAGGTAGGTGTACATATGGCCCATTGAATCAACTGTCTGGAGGTAGGTGTACATATGGCCCATTGAATCAACTGTCTGGAGGTAGGTGTACAGATGGCCCATTGAATCAACTGTCTGGAGGTAGGTGTACAGATGGCCCATTGAATCAACTGTCTGGAGGTAGGTGTACATATGGCCCATTGAATCAACTGTCTGGAGGTAGGTGTACATATGGCCCATTGAATCAACTGTCTGGAGGTAGGTGTACATATGGCCCATTGAATCAACTGTCTGGAGGTAGGTGTACATATGGCCCATTGAATCAACAGTAGCATTTATGTGGTTGGTGTATGTAAAGAGTTATGCAGCAGTAATTGTTGGTTTGAAGAGATATCGGCTAAGTACATTGACTTGACTGTTTGGATTTAATGCAAAATCCTAGCCTTAAAATTAAAACATAGTGGCTTGCTTTAAACTCATTCTTTACTGCTGTGGATTTAGTGACGTCAATGGCTACATATGCTATTTCAGTGACGCGTGCTATTTCAGTGAATAGTGCCATTTCAGTGAATAATGCTGTTTCAAGGAGCTACATGTAGAGTTTTTGCATTGTAATTTCAGAAAATATAAAATCGCATTCTAAAATGCAGACTTTCTATTTGACAACACAAGCCAGATGGGAAAACTGCATCCTCTTACACTGACGTCACTAAAAGGCGTGGTCATCTCTTCCTCGAGCACAGCAAACAATGGCTGATGTAGAAATCGCTCTGTCATTTCCTGGTTGCTAAAATTCCACACTCAATTTCAGTTTATGTAAGAAAACAAGCACTGAGTAGTGTAGGGCAGGGCTGCCCAACCCTCTTCCTGGAGATCTACCGTCCTGTGGGTTTTCAGTCCAGTCATAATTTAACACACCTGATTCTACTTATTAGCTGCTCAACAAGACCTTAACTAGCTGAATCAGATATGCTAAATAGGGTTGGGCTGAAAACCTACAGGACAGTAGATATCCAGGAAGAGGGTTGGGCAGCCCTGGTGTAGGGAATCATTGTACCATCTAAATCACTGTGAAATATGTTTTCAATTACAAAAAATATTGTTTTTAAGGCTGTTTTGATGTTGATGGACGAAACTAAAATTAAAATAGTCTTTGCTATCCAGAATCCTTGGGACGTCAGATAGCACTAACCTCTTCACTGTGTTGCGGGGAAATTGGATGTGGGGGAGGGGGGAGAGTTGTTTATATTGAGGCTAAGTGTTCACCTAGCTTCTACATGTGACATCATCATCACACCTTCTTCTCCATCCCAGGACTCCATGTTTGAGTGGATGCAGTGTCACACGGCGGCGGAGCAGCAGGCCTGCCTGCAGGACGAGAGTGTCTTCCTGGGGGACTTCCTGCAGTTGGACGCTGGCCACGCAGCCACCGTAGAGTACCTGCAGCAGGTGGCCAGGGTGCGCATGGGGCTGGACAGGGCTGCAGACCTGCTGGTCCACATGCTGTCTGCTGCTGCTGCCACAGGTATGTACATCATCCTCAATCCTTTTCACTAGGGTTTCTTATTGGACCATTTCAAGTAGTCTCCCAGTATCACTCATGTTTTTTTCTTCCATTTTGTTCCTGTTGAACACGACACTTATAATTAAAAATGATACTTACTGATGTAGGCCAACTGTCGTACAATTTATATAATTTATTTGATAGACTATTCAATTATTTGAATGTATTTATGGGCGGCAGGTAGCCTAGCGGTTAAATTGTTGGGTCAGTAACCGAAAGGTCGCTGGTTTGAATACCCGAGCCGACAAGGTGGAAAATCTGTCTGTGCTCTTGAGCAAGGTACTTAACCCTAATTTGCTACAGGGATACCGTACTGCTATGGATGACCCTGTAAAACAGCTCATTTAACTTCACCTACCCGGTGTATGTGACAATAAACCATATACTGTATATATTTTGTATTTTTTCTATACGTTTGCCTAATTATCCTCGTCCCCCTCTCGATCAATCGTATGTGTTCATGTGACGCTTCCCTCTCCCATTATGGTCCAATAGGATCGCAGGAGGAGTCTCCTAACGGCGTTGCAGCCTTCCTGACCAGCGTGGTGGACCTGTGTAGACGCAGCGGAAACGACTGGTATCGGGTTTACCTCATCCGTAAGATCTGCAGCCAGCGCGGTGTGGAGTTTGTTCAGAAACTCCTGAAGGTGGCTGACGTCCGGTGGTTGTTCCCTGCTGAAGTTCTGCAGCATGTAATGGTGGCCATTTTGTCTTTCTTTATAGGAGAGTAATGTAGGGTGCAATAATATGTCAATACCAAGCTGGAAGTGGTACAGGGATAGTCAACCTTTTAGTTTAGGGTGTTCTTATTTATTCCAAAATGTTTTTAAGTTTGTTAGATGGGTATTTAATATCTAGAATTTCATGGCTAGCATTTTTGGAGTATGTAGCAAAAACATTTTTTACTAAGTAGTCCTGTATTCATGTGATGATATAAAATATCTTTCATACCCTTTTAACCACTCTTGCGCTCTTCTAATGTCCTTCAGAATGAAGATGGCAGCCAGATAGACCAATATCTTGTGTGTGGAGAGGATTACAAGACGATCCGAGATGCTGTTGCCAAGGCAATGATGGAAGGCAAAATCGAGGGATTGGACAAGGCTTGTGAGGTATTGGTGTATTTCTACTTTACTCCATAATTGAAACACCTGCAGAGCATTTTGCATAAGCTTGTGATTAGATTTTGCTTGTTAATTTTTGTTCTTTCTATCAGATATTATGTTTAAACTGTTAAAGGCACAGTGCTGTCAAAACTATAACAATATAAGGTTGGAAAAATACTGTGAAATTGTGAAAATGATGATAATGCCCTATTAGTGTGAGAGCTGTTTGAAAAGACTGCCCAAAATTTCAGCCTGTTTTGGTGGGATCGAGTTTTGGCCTTCCGTGGTGACATCACCATGCAGTAAATGAGTTAATAGACCAATAAGAAAAAGTTCCAAACCTCTGCCAATAACAGCAAGTTTTCAGTTTTCCCCTCCCCACTCAGACCACTCCCAGACAATCCTAGCAAAATTCTTGCATGAGAAATTGCTCTTTGTTAAGAAGCTATTGTTGTTTCTTTTTGACCATTTTAATTGAAAACAATCACAGTAAGGTACTTAATTGCTACCAAGAAATGATTAGATATTGAGAGAAAAACAGCTGCATTGGATGTGTGTGTGTGTGTGTGTGTGTGTGTGTGCAGGGCTGTACATGTCCGCCACAGAAGAAGGCGGTCTACCTGCTCCTGGCCCTGTTCAGAGAAGTCACCTCTCTCTACAGATCAGCCAATGACAGCTTCCATCCTAAACCTGTGGTAAGAGTCCTTATACGAAGACAAAATACTGTGACGTAGTCCCAATTATCTCTCCTTCCTTCACTGATTTGAAAAGAAATGACTGATATAAGACATATGGTGGAAACTCCTACTAGCCCATGCCTCCACCAATCAAATGCTTTTAGATTTGCGGGAAGTATTGAACGAGTGCACACTTCAAGAGAAAGGAATATTATTGTCTATCACCTCAGCTTCCATACTTCACCTGTCTCAACACAGTGTCTTTACACCTAAAGATAACACTGTATCAACTGTCTCGTCACTTCCCATATAAGACTTGTTTCTCTACATCTCTCTGTTTAACCAAATATATTTTACTCCCCCAGCAATGCCAGGACCTGTTGGTATTCATCCAGGCCTCCAGGGTGCTGGTCAGCCCAGAGGTGAGGGCCTTCGCCCAGGCCCTGGTGGCCAACCGGCTGGGGCCCCTGGAGGTCCGTCCCGGGGCCTCTGGGGCCCAGTGTGTGGTGGTGGAGCTGAGCGTCCACCTGGCTGCAGTGCTGCTCTGTGGGAACCAGGGTCTACTGACGCCCCTCCAGCAGCTGGCCCTGCTGCCTGCCAACATGCAGGTGGGAACACTGACTGGGTGCCAAATGGCACACTGTTCCCTATGTAGTGCACTACTTTAGTTTTGACCATGGCCCATAGGGTTAGGACTAGTTAGGAACTCACCTGGTTGCCTAGGTCTTCATTTGACACGAATAGAAAGGAAATAACAAAAACCAGCATACACACGGTCCTCCAGGAATTTAGTTTGACACCCCTGGTCTGGAAGGAATCCAGGCTAAACCCCTTTCACACTACAGAGCCGAGCCAAACTGTACTGGGCTGGCCTGATATTCATTCAACATTTGATAGAATCGTGTTGAAAAGGTAACCTGTGAAAATAAATATCAATGCTATCACAGCATGGTTTGGCTTTGCCCTATAGTCTGAAAAGGGTTGGTTGATTTAATTATTTAAATATTTTAAAACGCATATCCACCACATCAGTGAAATAGCAGTCAATACAGTCCATGAAAACAACAGCTTTCAACACATTAAAGCCAGTGACTTATCTCCAGGGTGGTCCTAGTACCCCGTTCTGTTCCGTTCTGTTCGTCATGTAAAGGCCAGCTAACGTTGCTGTTTGTTCCTGTGTGTCTATAGAGAGCCTTCCTCCCCACCATGCCAGAGGACATGCTAGCAGTGGCTCACAAAGCTATGGGGCAGCTGCAGTGGTACTGTAAGTATAGTAACAGACAGATTTAGCAGATTTAATTGTCTAAAATGTGAAGTCGTCAAGCTTTTCTTCTGCTCTTACACAGTTTGTCCCAACAATCACCCGTGCACCATCGGTGAGGTACATAACATTTTACTTTTTAGTTTATTCTGAATGATCTTCTCTTTTGGCCCTAACTTTCAGTTTAAGTACGGTTTCTCAGAATCTCTCTCTCTCCTACCCCTCTGTCTGACCCTTACCACAGTGTGGCCAGCCCATGGAGAGGAGTCGATGCCTGGATTGTGGCCATGAGATCGGAGGGGACAACCACAAAGCTGTCCCTGGCTTCCAAGCCTTTCAGATCCAGTGAGTGGGACTTTTATGGAATTTATAAAAGACAGTTGATAATGGCTTGAGCAGGTGCTGCACTGTGCAGAATTGGGTTCAAACAGTATTTTATTTTCTTTCAAATTGTTTAGCTGTGCTTGATTGAGCTGACCTGGCACAAAGGAACCAATGGAATAGCCCCCAAAAGTACAAACCCCACCCATCTGGCCATCCAATCCAAGCAGGCTCATACTATTTGAACCCAGGTCTGGTATCGTGACAGTACTGGATAATGTTTTCCCTCTTCACAGGGGTGACCGCACCCAGACTGGCCACATCCTGGGAGATCCCAGACGGAGAGACAACCTGGACATGCAGGACACCAAGAACATGTCCCCAGTGCCCTTTAACCTTCTGCGCCTGATCACACACATGGCCATGCTGCTAGGGGCCAGCAGTCACCCCCAGGTAGGTACACTAGAACAGATTTTCAAAACTCTCATCGGGGACACAAAGCCGTTCCATTGGTAACTATTCCAGAGCTAACACACCTGATTCAACTTATCAACTAATCATCAAGCATTTGATAAGGTGAATTGGTGTTAGTTCAACTAAATTGTGAAATGTCTGGGGAGGTTTTAAAACCACTGTACTAGAGGTAACTCTGGTCCTCTGTAGCTCAGCTGGTAGAGCACGGCGCTTGTAACGCCAAGGTAGTGGGTTCGATCCCCCGGGAACCACCCATACACGAAAAAAAATTTATGCACGCATGACTGTAAGTCGCTTGGATAAAAACGTTCTGCTAAATGGCATATTATTAGGTAACTGTTGTAGATGGATGGATGTGGTAGTGGTTTGGCTGTTATGTTGATAAAGTGCGGACAGTTCATCTATTGAAGGACAGCTCAACTGTCTCTTCATCTTCCTCCCCTTCTGGCCCTCTCCTGGCTCTCTCTCTCGCTCTCTTCATCTCTCTCTGTCCTCTCTCTTACCTCTTGGCTCTCTCTCTCTCCTCCTCTCTGGCTCTCTCTCTCTCTGTCTCTCTCTCTCTGTCTCTCTCTCTCTCTGTTTCTTTCCCTCTTGGCTCTCTCCCCTTTGGCTCTCTCTCTCTCTCTCCTCTTGGCCTCTACCCTCTCGGCTCTTCTCCTTTGGCTCTCTCACCCTCTCTGGCTCTCTCCCTCTGGCTCTCTCTCTCTCTGGCTCTCTCTCTCTCTCTCTCCCTGCTCTTTCTCTGTCTCTTCTCTACCCTCTCTGGCTTCTACCCTCCTGGCCTCTTACCCTCTCTGGCTCTCACCCTCTCTCTCCCTCTCGTCTCTCCTCTCTCCTGGCTCTCTCTACCCTCGGCTCTCTCCTCTCTCTCTGGCTCGCTCTACCTCCCCCTCTCTCTCTCGGTATCTCTACCCCCCCCTCGCTCCTCTGTAGTCAGCGGTGCATCAAGCCTCCAGTGCCCGACCCCGGTACATTCCTGTGGGACCACCTGTTGAAGGACATGGAGCAGGTGACCAGGTCTCTGGGGAAGGGGTCAGACGACACGGTCAACACCGTCCACCTGGTCATCAGCAGCCTTCTGGAGCCCCACCAGCCTGGTCAGTGTAAGGGACCAGGAAACACCTTGACGTCCTCAATAGGTTTAAAATCACTAAAAACAAGTAAAAGGTCTTAGAATGTGCTTTAAGGTGAAGGTAGTTTAAAGTGAAAGAATGTATAAAAATGTACTATTATTATTTTTGAATCATTGTCTGTAATTGATGTCAGATGCTGAAAGTTTCCCTCACTCTACTCTGCTTCTCTCTCCAGGGCCTGTTCCCTATGACAACCTGCTCTCCACCAAGGAGGCTCGAAACGGCTGGGAGACCACCATCAGCAATGACATCATCACCCCTCAGCTGAAGGTACCTACTATTGACATCACAAAGTCACCATTTTACTCAGTTTGCCATCTCTAGATGAAGGAATTTCTTTAGCATCTTCAATACAGTCAACGATATTTGTTTTCTTTCATTGGTCCATCTATAACCGTCGTTCATTAGAGCACGCAACGGAAAACTTTTTTAAAATGTTTGCATTTCTTATTGGACAAGGCTAGGTAGTCCCTCTCTGTTTGAATCTGTTTTATTCTGTTTAGTGTCTAATGAACACTGCCCTGAATAACAGAGAACCATTGATATCTAAATGAGACCCTCTCTTCCCCCTCTATCTCTCTTTCTCTCCCCTCCCATCCCATCTCCAGCACCTGGACAGGCGGCTGAAGGAGGTGAACGCCTTCGTCCGGGCCGACTCGCGGGTCTCCTCCAACCCCGTGATGAGGCTGGTGTTCGGGGACCCGCGCCTCTTCCTGACCTCTCTGCCCCGGGGGTCTCTGATCCACAGCTCAGCCGTGTGGAGCTGCAGGGAGCGTGTGTCTCTGCTCAGCCTCACCCACATTGTGGAGCAGCACGACGGCAAGGACACCCTGCCCATGCTCTGGCGCTTCCTACAGAGGGTAAGAGCTGAGGCACCGCTGAACGGAAACCTGGGTCTTCTTTTTTTTTGCAATGGAAGCAAGTGTTCCTTATTGGACAGGTTCATGTATTCCCTCCTTGTTTCGGTAATCATGGTAGCCTCCACGTTAATGTAGAAGGGTTTAGAAGCATATTCTATTCTTATTTACAATAAAAGTGACTCCAAAATGACACTACATTATTTACCATTCATTTTTATTAGCACAAAATAATCTGAAACAACCAAAACATTCAGTATAATGTACAGTGCATTCGGAAAGTATTCAGACCCCTTGACTTTTTCCAAAAAAAAATTACGTTACAGCCTTATTCTAAAATTGATAACCAAAAACAAAATCCCTCATCAATCTACACACAATAACCCATAACGACAAAGCATAAACGTTAAAAATATATATTTTTGCAAATGTATTAAAAATAAGAAACGGAAATATCACATTTACATAAGTATTCAGACCCTTTACTCAGTACTTTGTTGAAGCACCTTTGGCAGCGATTACAGCCTTGAGTCTTCTTGAGTATGACGCTACAAGTTTGGCACACCTGTATTTGGGGAGTGTCTCCCATTCTTCTCTGCAGATCCTCTCAAGCTCTGTCAGGTTGGATGGGGAGCGTCGCTGCACAGCTATTTTCAGGTCTCTCCAGAGATGTCTGATTGGGTTCAAGTCCGGGCTCTGGCTGGACCACTCAAGGACATTGAGACTTGTCCCGAACCCACTCCTGCTTTGTCTTGGCTGTGTGCTTAGGGTCGTTGTCCTGTTGGAAGGTGAACCTTCGTCACAGTCGGAGGTCCTGAGCGCTCCGGAGCAGGTTTTCATCAAGGATCTCTGTACTTTGCTCCGTTCATCTTTCCCTGCCGCTGAAAAATATCTCCACAGATGCTGCCACCACCATGCTTCACCGTAGGGATGGTGCTAGGTTTCCTCCAGACTTGACGCTTGGCATTCAGGCCAAATAGTTCAATCTTGGTTTCATCAGACCAAAGAATCTTGTTTCTCATGGTCTGAGAGGCCTTTTGGCAAATTCCAAGCGGGCTGTCATGTGCCTTATACTGAGGAATGGCTTCAGTCTGGCCACTTTACCATAAAGGCCTGATTGGTGGAGTGCTGCCGAGATGGTTGTCCTTCTGGAAGGTTCTCCCATCTCCACAGAGGAACTCTGGAGCTCATTCAGAGTGACCATTTGGTTCTTGGTCACCTCCCTGACCAAGGCCCTTCTCCCCCGTTTGGCCGGGCGGCCAGCTCTAGGAAGAGTCTTGGTGGTTCCAAACTACTTCCATTTAAGAATGATGGAGGCCACTGTGTTCTTGGGGACCTTCAATGCTGCAGAAATGTGTTGGTACCCTTCCCCAGATCTGTGCTTCGACACAATCCTGTTTCGGCGTTCTATGGACAATTCCTTCGACCTCATGGCTTGGTTTTTGCTCTGACATGCACATAGACAGGTGTGTGCCTTTCCAAATCAAGTAAAATCAGTTTAATTTATTCTTAATACATTTGCAAAAATTTCTAAAAATCTGTGTTCGCTTTATCATTATGGGGTATTGTGTGTAGATTGATGACAAAAATGTTTTAGTTAATCCATTTTAGAATAAGGCTGTAATGTAAAAAAAAAATTGGAAAAAGGGACGTGGTCTGAATACTTTTCCGAATGCACTGTATGTATTCAGTGGCTAAACACTCCAAGACCCTAAACGTGTTTACAGTCTCATTTACAGTCATAATGTTGGTCAGACCTTCATTCAATGCAGTGTGATTGGCAGTTTGTTTTACCATACCCTGTGATTGGTTGCCGTAATATACGACCGTAACATCACCCGCCTGTGATTGGTCTTTTGACAGGAGGCAGAGCTGCGGTTGGTGAAGTTCCTTCCTGACATCCTGGCACTGCAGAGAGATCTGGTGAAGAGGTTCCAGAACGTGACCGACCTCAACTGCGGAACCATCGCAGAGTTCCTTCACAGCCAGAAAGCAGGTACTAGTTTAAACTATACTTCTGGGTTAGTCACAGTACTGTATGTCCAACTGAAAACCATCAGTGGTATTGTTTGTATTATTGGCATCATACAGCGAGCAGATATATCATTTATTTCACTATTGAGGCCAGCCGAGCTAAGCTGTAGTGTAGTAGCCAGTTATGCCTCCACCATAGAGGCTGGAAAATAACATCTAAGAGTCAGCTCTACAGTTCAGGCCAGAACACTAGTATCAAAAGAGGAGTAAAGTTTGTTTACAATATAGGCTTATAGATTGATTATTATGTTTGTTCTCACAGCCTCCCTCTCGGCCTGGTACGAGAAACGGATCAAAATCTTCCTGACAACGTGGAATCAGCTTCGGGTCTCCCTGGCAACCAACGGTATGAGAAAGATAAACATAGCACAAGTCTAGGGCTCTGTTAATAATGAAATAAATAAATAATATTCAGTAAATATATCCAATATTTTAAAATATGCTCTTTGGAGGGGCATTCATGCATGATTTCTTAATCTGCAATTTTGTGATTATAATCTGTGTGTTTTGGCTCTGCTCCAGGTGAGATTAAAATCCCTGGCGAGTTCTGCCAAGAGGACCTGGACCTGACCAGTGACTTCTTGGTTCTGTTGCCACGGCGACAGGGTTCCGGCCTGTGTTCCACGGCGCTGGTCAGCTACCTCATCGCCCTGCACAACGAACTGGTCTACTGCGTTGACAAGCATACTGGAGAGGAGACCAGGTGAGGGTGCTGTTGTCCTATTTCATTTTCACTCATCTGGGGCCGAAGTAACCAAGCATCTCGGAGTAGGAGTGCTGATTCAGGATCAGTTTTTCCTTTAGGATCACAATAAGATCACATGGATGGGGGGACCTGATCTGGGATCGGCTCTCCTACTGAGACGTTTGATACATATCTCAGACTACATCGGTCTGAGATGTAGTCAGTTGTACAACTGAATGCATTCAACTGAAATGTGTCTCCCGCATTTAACCCAGAGAGGTGCGGGGTGCTGCCTTAATCGACATCATCGGCGCACGGGGAGCAGTTGTTGTTGCAGGTTAACTGCCTTGCTCAAGGGCAGAACGTCAGAATTTTCCACCTTGCCGACTCGGGGATTCAAACCAGCGACATTTAGATTACTGGCCCAACACTCTTAACTGCTAGGCCTGTGGTTCCCAACCTCTTTTGGTTACTCTACCACCAACTGAATTTTGCTCTGCCCAGAGTACCCCTGAAGTACCCCCTCATGTGCATTTTACCAGTAGGCCTATGGTCTCATGAGTCTTCTCAAGTACCCCCTGTGGATAGGTCAAGTACCCCCAGTGGTCCTAGTACCCTTGGTTGGGAACCACTGCGCTATGCTGCCAGCCAAACTGATAGAAAGCAGAAGCAGACATGGTTGATATCACCCGCTTACACACATTCTTACACCAACAATATGGTCATTTAGCAGACCCTGTTATCCAAAGAAACTTCCAGAACTGTCAACATTGACACATGCAGTATATCGGTATATGTGGCCATGCAGGACTCAAACCCACAACCCTGGTGTACTGGCAGCACCATGATCCCTACCTCACCCAGCCATTGGAACCACATTAGTTCACTCTTCTCCTTTCCCTCCCCCAGCTACACAGTGAGCCCGGCGGACCTGAGCGACCTGCACATGATCCGCTACGAGCCGGAGAGAGATCTGCTGCCCTTGGTTCTGTCCAACTGCCAGTACAGCGTGGAGCGTGGCCAGGAGGCCCTGCACGAGTACGACCTGCCCAAGATCCAGCAGCAGATCCTGGCCCGCTTCCTGCAGGGCAAGCCCCTCGTCACCCTCAACGTGAGTCAGTCTGTCTCTCAGCTGTCGGTCAGTCAAATGTACAGTTCTAGGCATCAACAAAGTTACTAAATGCCTGTGCTGCAGCAAGGTACATTGTTAATGTGACAAACTCTCTCGTAGGGTGACGCCAAGTTCATTAGCAATCGTCTAACAATAACAAATGTTATGAAATACATTTTTTAAATATGCTCTTAAAGGGTAAAACTACATCCACTTATAAACATATTTTTTACTAAAGTTAGTGTGCGGTTAGAGGTTAAACCAGAACTGTATAGATTTCCCTTTTTACAGAAACACTTAGCTGTCACAAGCTGCGTTACACATTCTGATATTTTTTTCACTAATTGGTCTTTTGACCAATCATATCAGCTCTGAAAAAGATCTGATGTGATTGGTCAAAAGACCAATTAGAGTAAAAAAGATCAGAATGTGTCTGCCTGTGTAAAAGCAGCAACAGTGAGGTAAAGACAACAGCGTTACTATATGACCATGTAGTAAACAGGAAGAGGTTTTGATTTGTTACTAACTGCCGTCTCATACAGGGAATCCCAACCCTGGTGAACAGACATGACCGCAATTATGAAAATATCCTCAAGGACGTAAAAGGAAAGGTTCAACAGGTAAGTCACAATAACTCTGGTGACATGTTGTCACATGGTATGATATGAACGGGGAAATCTTTGATTGGTACTCTACATCCAGTTTTGGAACACAACCCTGGCATGAGGTTGAGTTGACCCTGTTCTATGCCTGGTCCACGTCGCTGTCATTTCCCTGTTTGTGACCTTTTCCCTTTGTGTCCCTAGGAGCCCCTGCCCATCCTGACCCTGTCAGCGCTAGCTGGGGAGCTGCAGTCATACAGCGAGGTGTGTGAGGCGCTCTCCACCGTGGAGGTGGCACTGGGCTTCCTGGCCATGACAGGCGGCGAACCCCAGCTGCAGCTAGAACGCTACCTGGAGGAGGTTCTGCAGATGGGAGACCAGACAGCCCCACACATCCTCAAGGTCAGCTCCCTTCCTCCGTCTGCAGTCTGGAGCCCACAGACTGTCCGGGTGCAGCAGTAACATATCTCTGTCCTACACTCTGTTTATGACAGAGATAACTCTGTCCACTCTGTCGAATGGTTTAGTTGGTAGCTGAGAGCCTAAAGCCAGATTTTTGTTTCACCACTCCATCTAGCTGGCTCTCCATTGGCTTCCTTACAGGAACCAGTAAACAGATGGATACCCTTAACAGAAATTAGTGTCTTAATTTAATCTTGTTGTCGTAAGCTTTTTGGGGTATATAGCTAGCATATTATCAATCACTATCTAGCCTAATTGGTATTAATTGTACCCTAAAGTTAATACAACACATCTCTCGGTAAGGTGAGCTCTTTCAAGAGAGAACCCGTTAGCAGTGATGTCATGTTTTCTGACCATGTGATTGGAGGTTATATTAAACTAAGGGATAGTTCACCCAAATTACAAAATTACATGTTGGTTTCCTGACCCTGTAAGCAGTCTATGGATGTAAGACAGCAATGCATTATTTGGTTTTGTTTACCTGGCCACTGTTTCAAATGCTAACCTTTTTTGCACAAATCCAGTGCAATGTTGCCCTGAGCAGGTGTAGTCTGAGTCACTGTGTTGTCCTCATGCAGGCCCTGAGCAGGTGTAGTCTGAAACACTGTGTTGTCCTCATGCAGGCCCTGAGCAGGTGTAGTCTGAAACACTGTGTTGTCCTCATGCAGGCCCTGAGCAGGTGTAGTCTGAAACACTGTGTTGTCCTCATGCAGGCCCTGAGTAGGTGTAGTCTGAAACACTGTGTTGTCCTCATGCAGGCCCTGAGCAGGTGTAGTCTGAAACACTGTGTTGTCCTCATGCAGGCCCTGAGCAGGTGTAGTCTGAAACACTGTGTGGCCCTGTGGCAGCTCCTCACCTCACTCAAGTCGGAGAACATGCTGCGCCTCAAGAGGGTAAGACGACGAGACACCACACATTCACCCAGACAACAGTCTTCACATTAAACTGTTAATGGTTTTGTTAGGGTCATGTTTTTACACTGGTTATGAAGTTGTTTGTCTGGATTACTGTTTGTGTGGGTGAGATGTGTTTGAATAACTTACAACATAAGTTGTAACATTGTAACTTAAGTTCTACTAACTTACAAAATTCAGTTACACTAACTTTAGTTATACTAACTTACAAAATCTGATAAATAGCAAATGATCGTAATGTCATGTTTCACCCTAGTGTGTGTCTATTAGTAGAAGTTTCACTAAACCCCCCCTCTCCATCCCTCCCTCCCCATCCTCAGGACCCGTTTGTGGGGGTCTCAGAGAAGTACAGGAAACCCCTGGGCGATGAAGAGCGGAGGCTGCTCACTACGTTCTTCACCAAGAGCAGCGCTGACTCGTTCCTGCTGGAGATGCACGAGTTCCTGCTGCTGGTCCTGAAGAACCCCCGTGCCCTCGACACATACAGGCCTGACTGGGGGTAAGCCAAGGGGATAACAGCTAGCTGGCATGGTGTAGTCTCTCTTGACACTCTTAGCTACCTAGTGCCCATAGATTTGGTTCTGGGTTCCGGGATTAGCAAAATTGTAGTGTTCAATTTTGTAGTATTGTTTACGTCAAATGAACATCACGTATGTGTTTCACAAGGCCCACAAACATCTCTGGGTGAGGCATGTTTGATGAAAGTAAAAATCACATGTCCATTATCCTTTCCTCCATCGTCCTGCAGCCTGAAAGACACCCTGCTGTCCTACATGGAGCGTAAGGACCTTGACGTTCCCCACGACGTGGACGAGTTGTTCCCCGGAGAGATCATCCTGGCTCAGTACATCGAAGCCTGGAAGTTCACTGTGGCCTTCAAACAGGAGCGCAGCCAGAGATAGCTCCACCACCTCCTCATTGACTTTACTCTGCCTTTGGCTGTGTCCCAAATGGCGCCCTATTCCCTACATAGTGCACTACTTTCCCCCCCCCCTGCAGAGTCTAACATCATTTCATACTTTTATTGGTTTTTAGACAGGACAGTATGAAGTCAGTGGGACAGACGATGTTGGAGGAATGACAAGTCGGAAGGGAACAGAGCCAAAGCTCCAACCCCAGACTCCAGCAATGTAGTGCACTACTTTTGACCCACCAGGTTGGGGTACAGGTTAGGGTGCCATTTCAGATGCACACTTTGTATAGACTTTATAGTACCTGTATACTGTATGTAAGGGCCAAATATATGTTTACAGTCATGTTTAAGAATACACTTATATGATATAGATTAATATGTTTTACACAGTGGAACGTGCAATGAGTGCCTTTTCGGAAATGCTTTCAAAGTGCCAGCAGGCATATTCTACTCATGTGCAATACACAATACCTATATACTATATAATTCTGGTATCTAAAAAGTGAAATGTGATTTGTACTAGGAGTACAATGAATGAACGCTCTTTTGAGACGTTCCTAAAAGTTAGAGGAAATTACGAAAGTTGTAATTAGCAAATATTTGTCCATTTAATTTATATTAGTTGATAAATATGCACGTACAGTGGAGGCTGCTGAGGGGAGGACAGCTCATAATAATGGCTGGAACGGAGCGGATGGAATGACATCAAACACATGGAAACCATGGAAACCATGTTTGAAGTATTTGATACCATTCCACTTATTCTGCTCCAGCCAATACCACGAGCCCGTCCTCCCCAATTCAGGTGCCACCAACCTCCTGTGATGCACAAAATGTTTATTGACTGCTGATGGTCTTGTGTGCACTTTTTAAATGTGAATTTCTCCTTCACATAGTGGTGGTAGTGAAGACTGAATGATCTTAGACTCAGGGACGCAACTAGATGAGATGTTGGACTATAACTCTGCAAATTTTCTGAAGCTGCCTTGTTATTGATATCTATGGTGTCCCCAAAGGCCACCGTAGATATCTATTTACATGGCTTTGCCTCAAGTGATACGTTTAGTTTTTTCATAACGGACTCATCTACAATCAACACTGAAAAATGGCATGACAGTTTCCACTTTCAGAATCACTGCCTTACAGAATAATCCATGCTCATTGTATTTGGCACTTTGCTTGACGTTCCTCTTGTTGAACTTAAAGTTGGACCAAATGTTGTTTCTGTATTCCATTTCATTGCTGAAGAGTGTGACATGCAGTGATTATTATGTTAAAACAAAATAAATTGTTTGCCTCAGCTCATTTTTCTTTGTTGGTGATTTCTTGAAATCTGTCTTTGGCGCCACAAGACTTAAGTGACAGTCATTCAATCAAAGAACAGCGTTAGGCTCAGGACTGTGGGTGTAGCAAATTAACATTTAAAGTGACCGTCCCATTTTTGAGAGTCATAATCAAATGTATTTGTTTGTGATGTGTAACACATAAGTGAAAAAAGATGATACCAGCAGAATGTATTTTTTTTATACTGACCAGGTGGTCTCCATCAGCCCAAAGTCAAGATGCAGGCAACAAACTCTGTTCTATTTCTTTATTTTGCACACAAAGCAGTCACACATTTTGACAAATATAACTTATGAAATTATATTTAGATTATATTTATTATATTAGTTGAAGTAAAATCTCAAATCAAAGTGTATTTGTCATATGCGCAGGATACATGGATAAACAGTACATTGAAATGCTTACTTGCAAGTTCACATCTCAACATTGCAACTGAAATAAAAGAAAAGTAGAATATCATGGAAAACGAAGAAACGGGAAACACAAAAAAGTACTAAATACATAAGACTCATGAACCCGAAGACAGTTTACCTCTGATTATACATTAGATCAGTGTATTCAAACGTTTTTAGTAGAAACCCAACTTCAAAAATAATGATAATAATCTGGAAATCAACCAATAATGTTAAATACATTACATTTTAATTTCGTATAAAAACTAAGAGAACCAATAAATACTAGAACTTTTACGATTAATAAAAAAAAAACGTTCGAAAACACAAACTCAATTTTATCAACAAAATAAACTGACAAAAACATTTCTGTCAGGTCTGGCAATGTTAGGCCTCTGGTTTAGGAACTGTGCTGCTACTGCACTAGAATTGGGATTGTTTGCTTAAATGTTTTGTCCTGAGAACTACAACAAAAAGAGTAAATGGAATGGAAGTAATTTTCTGATTAAAGTCATTGTGGGAAATGAGTGTGTTGAAACTGCATTCAGCTATGGCATGCAAACTAAACATTCTCGTTTGGCTAGCTACTGATTTCAAAAGTTTTTTAAAAGTTAACTTTAACAAAAAACATCTTGCGGTACTGTGAGTAGGCTATTATGAGATTGGGTATGAAAAATGTTGTTTTTCATACAATAATTTGTATTCTTGTTTTGCATTTCCCCCGCGACCTTGACTTTGAATACCACTAAATTATATGATACATTATGGGCTGGTTTCACAACGCCGAAAAATATGTTTGCAAAGATGTTGAGAAAGGTGAGTGGTCCGTTGACTATTGTGAACGACAAGTTGTCCATCATGATACGTGTAATTTTTTTAAAGAGGTTTTTGTGTGCAGGGATAGCCTAACTTCTCTGTCAGCGTCTGGTGTTTAAATGCTGGACACCCAATCTAAGCCAGGTGTCTGAGACACCGGGAAAACCAACTCAAACGTAGCATAACCTATTTACATCGCCGATACATGCAAATGATTGAGGTGTAACGTCAACCCAAAAAGGGAATATTGCATAAGTCACCTGCATCATTACCATAAACTATGCTATCATTAGTGGCAGAGAGGGATTCAAATTACCCGGACTATAACAACAATTCTTAAATTATTTGTCACCTACACGTATTTTGCAGATGTTATCGCAAGTGCAGCGAAATGCTTATGTTTCTAGCTCCAACAGTGCAGTGACACCTAACAATACAAAACAATACACACAAATCCCCAAAAAATGTAAAGAAAGAAATTAAGAAATATCAGAACGAGTCAGAGTCAGGAATTTAAATATACACTGAGTGTACAAAACATTAAGAACACCTGCTCTTTCCAAGACAGACTGACCAGGTGAATCCAGGTGAAAGCTAAGATCCCTCATTGATGTCACTTGCTAAATCCACTTCAGTCAGTGTAGATGAAGGCTACATGTTAAATAATTATTTTTATGCCTTTAGACAATTGAGACATCAAATCAAATGTCACTTACACGTGTTTAGCAGATGTTATTGCGGGCGTAGCGAAATGCTTGTGCTTCTATCTCCGACAGTGCAGTAATATCTAACAAGTAATATCTAACAATTTCACAACATATACCCAGTACACACAAATCTAAGTAATGAACTGAGAACCCATCTGGCTGGACCGATTTCGACAGAATATCCCCAGGGAGCCATGTTTCCACGAAACAAAGTATGTTACAGGCCCTGGTGTGTCTCTGGAAAAAAATCCTTGCCCTGAGCTTGTCGACTTTGTTATCCAAAGACTGAACATTAGCGAGTAGTATACTTGGAAGCGGTGGGTGGTGTGCGCGCCTCCTAAGTCGAACCAGCAGGCCGCTCTGAGTGCCTCGCCTCTGCCAGCGATGTTTTGGGTCAGCTGCTGGAATCAGTTCAATTGCCCTGGGGAGGGCAAACAAAGGGTCTGCTTCGGGAAAGTCGTATTCCTGGTCGTATTGCTGGTGAGTTACCGCCGCTCTGATATCCAATAGTTTTTCCCGGCTGTATGTAATGATACAAAACACTTTCTGAGCTAATAATGTTAAACAAAATACCACAAAGTTTCCTAAGAGCTAGTCGCGAGGCCGCCATCTTCGCCGGCGCCAGGTATGTGTGCCATTCAGAGGGTGAATGGGCAAGACAAAATAATTAAGTGCCTTTGAACAGGGTATGGTAGTAGGTGCCAGGCGCACCGTTTTTTGTTAAGAACTGCAACGCTGCTGGGTTTTTCAAGCTCAACAGTTTCCCGTGTGTATCAAGAATTATACAACAGATTGGTCTAATCCTGGATGCTGATTGGTTAAAACCACATTCCAGCCGGTGTCTATTCCACAAGTTACCACTGGCTAAATCTATGACGTTACAATGCTTATTTACTCTGTTCCATCTGACTGCGCAATCCACTGTCTCATCAGCCCAGCCAGGCAATTTATCAACTTGATCGCCACTATAAAAAGCATCTAGACATTATCTCAACATTTTTTTAGACTAACGTTTAGTTTTCAACAGCGGTGATTTGTATAAATCTTGCTGTCTTTCTCTCCGGCATTTGCAACATTGTTTCAATATTAAAATTTGATCTCCAGCTGTCACATAGTAATGAATTAGCTCATTGTTTTGGATGTATCCAAATAAATGTCACTAGAAAACAGCTTATGCAAATTCAGCTACTTTGTTGTTATTCTGGCTGCACTGTTTGACGTGACTGTAAGTTAGCCGTAGTTTGCTAGCTAGCAAGCAAGGGATAAGAACGTTGCCAGCCAGTATGGCAATAGAACATTTAGAACGATCAACTGGGTCGCGTCCATAGATACAGAACAAAAAGACTTAACGACTGGGTCGCGTCTCTAGCAACCGAACCGATAGAACGAACGACCAGCCGGCTTGGGTAGCAACCGTAGATTTGTGTTGGGACTATATCTTGTGGAAGGATGAAATAGTATGAATAAATTCATTAAAATAACATTTTTAATGAAAATATGTAAATCATGATTTGAATATGTTGGTAACCTGTTGTATAAAAGTGATACATTTATGTAGTTCTGTTTTGAGCTGTTCTTGTCTATTAATGTTCTGTATTATGTCATGTTTCATGTTTTGTGTGGACCCCAAGAAGAGTAGCTGCTGCTTTTGCAACAGCTAATGGGGATACTAATAAAATACCAAATACAAATAATGCCCTCGACCCCGGTGTTTGGAGGATATAGTGGTA